GAGCGAAATGTATCTATACAATGTGTCTCGAATCAGTGAGGAAGGAGAAATAGCATACAAGCTGCACGCGATGTGAACACGAACGTGTAGGTTGATCTAAAGAAGCGCATGTGCAGTAGTCAAGTTAAAAAATCGCAGATGTTGTTATTGTTGTTATTAGCATAGCAGCTCTAACAGTAATTGTTGATGGCAACGAAAACGTGGTGGCAAAATGCGGTTTTATTAATACAAATGGGAGATGGCAAGCATTTAAGCTGCTTACGTATCGCCTGTGCAAATGATTAAATCGAATCAATAAAATTCAATTCATATTTCCATATGCGAAACAAAGCAATAAAAACATTTATAAAAAATAAAGCTGCTTTTAATCAGTAATTGCAATCAAAAAATCATAGTAAGTGTGACAGTCATTAATATGCATTTAAGTTTTAGGTTAGTGATCTGCACATATTATATTATTTACTATAATTAAGTAATTTTTTTTTATGTTTATAACTTGATTAGATTCCCGTATTTAAATAATTAAATAAAATATTTAATTTCATTTCATTTCTTTTCTTTGCAGACATTTCGAAATAAATGAAAATGGTAATCTACAACATTCAACCAAGTCAGCCCCATCAACAGTACCAAATGCAACAAACTCAACAAATGGCATACCAAAACCAACCAACCAACAAACTCCACAAACATTTACCATTTTAGCTGCCATCGAAAGCTCGCAACATATTTGCGTCATCGACTTAATTTGCCAAAGTCTGAAGCTGCTCAGCGGTCACTTTACGTATTGTGAAATCCTGGCCGTTTGTCTCGAACGGGATTTACTGCAATTATGCAAGAACAATTCAGTACCGGCGACAACAACAACAACAACAAACTGTGCTACTAGTGCGGCAACACCTTTAATTGCTGCAACAGTTAGTGCCGTTTGCCAGAAGGTAAGCTATGATGTGTGCCCGCAACATTTTAACATTAATTGGCAACATTTAATTTAAAGTTAACATGGCAATACTCTTAATTAGAAGGTACAAAGTTTTTAATTAATGGCTTCACAAATTGAACCCGAATGATATTTCATGCTTAATATATAAAATAAAGAAAAGAAGAAAATAGTTAGATTGAATTACAAACATATTAGGAAAGTTTTATAATTTTAAACATTTTAAAAAATAGTTTTAATTCATAAAAAATCAATAGATTAATCAAAAGATCAAGACAAATAGTATATTGTTTTTATTTTTATATTAAAAAAGTGAAATATGGTTTATACATTAGTTCTAATAATAACACAGCAAGTGTAATTGTTGCTTAATACTGAATCCACACGAGATTTTTGTTTGAATTTTACTTACTCACTTAGTTGGCCATTACAGACGTGAGTCGTCCTTGGCCGCGTCGAGTAGCCTCCGCCAGCCAACCTAGTCAGTTGCGCCCCCAAAACATTGGTCTCCTGGTCCTTTGACCGAAGATGCGTATATCCTCTTCCGCGTTTTCCACCTACGGGTACCGAATCAAACATTTTTCTCAGCGGAGCACATTCTTCTATTTGCACGATATGACCAAACCAGGGAAGCCACTGAATTTTTATGCGCTTAACTTTGTCAATGTCACGGTATAGCTCATACAGCCCATCATTCCATCTAATTCGATAATCGTCTCGAACGGGTAAGGGACTACAGATCTTTGGAAGAATTTTTCTCTCGAATGCTCCTAACGTCTTCTCATCACTATTGGTAGTTGTCCAAACTTCTGCACCATACAGCAGGATAGGTGTGATAAAAGATTTGTAGAGCGCGTTTGTGATTTTAGGTGTCAAAAATTTTCATTCTTCATTGAAAGTAACAAAAATTGACGGCTAAAATTCTAAATGAAACTCTCGTGTGAGTCCAGTATAAGAAGAAACAACAAACTTCAGTTTTGTGCAGGATTGGGCAGGGTTCAATTCCTAAATTTCTTGGAGTCTAAAAATTTTATACAGACAATCTAACCAATAGGTGTTTCCACAGATCACTGATAGAGATTATTTAACAGTTTTCAAAATAGTTGTATGAAAAAAAATTCAATTGATTAAACATTTGTTTAACTTGTACTCGCTCTTCTGTTCTAAACACACTTTTTATAATGGTATATATAAATTTTTATCATATAGTTTTAGCAATGTGTTTTTTATATATGTAAATCCTCTATTTTCTATTTAAATCTACCAAATTATATACGTGTAAAGATAAAAAAATGAAAATACTTTAAGCTATGTTTAAAAAAACAATAAATCTTTGCAAATAACTAGACATGATTTCAAAATTCTCAGAAATTTTATTACGAAATTCACTATTCAAAAAGTCGTTATTCTCAAAACAATACAGAATGGAATAGAACAAAATAAAAAATAATAAAAAATTAATTGTGAGAATAGCGCACAAGATTGACGCCCCTTCATAACACTCAATTAACCCGACTTTTAACAGAAGCTACTTTTTTAAAAAAATCACAAAATAAAGAATAAACTGAAGTTACACGCTTTATTTTATTTATTTCTTCATTTATTTTATTGCTGTAATGCAACATTTTAGGATCAGAGGCATCAACAATTGCCACTCCAGCAACATGAACAGTCACAACAGCAACATTTGGTGAAGTTTATTGGCGTTGACGAAGTCACGACAAGTGTTGCGCCATCACAATTACCGTTTGGTAAACTACGAGGTTTTCATCATCACGATCCACAAAAATGGAGAGAGTTCTTCTTGCAATTGGAACCTTTTCAGAGTCAATGTTCAGCAGCTGGTCAACGTTTAGTCGCAGCTATGAGTGATATTCGTACTGCTGACCTGCAAGGGTTACCAACACGACGTCAATTGTATGCTCAGCATAGAGCACTAAGCCGTGCCATAATGGATTCCGAATTGCATAATCTGAGAAAATGTGGCTCATTGACGTTAGCACGTCTGCAGGAGTTAGCCAAATCCATCAATATGAGCCAAATTGACAGTTGTAATAAAAATACCACGAAAAATAACTGCAGTAGCAATAGGATTAAAACCAACAATGTTAACAAGATATTGTCGACAGCAACATCGATCATTAGCAACACTTATAGCTTTAGTAACAATAGTCACATAAGTCACAATTCGGTCAACACCAAAATAAAAAGTTCAGCATTGTCAGGAGAAGACAACAACAAATCAGTCTCATCAGCAACATCAGTTGTGGAAGCATCAACGATAGCAAAGAACAACAATAGTTACACAAACAACAACGTCAGCAATTGCAACCATAGTAACGATAACAGCAATAGCAACATTGATGTTGCAATTAGAGTACAAAAAGTTGCTTTGTTATTCAATGAGGTCGATCGAGCATCGAAGCGCTTGGAGCAGTTAACGGAACAACGTCGTGAAAGATTGCGAGAATTGACACGCCAACGTGCGCTGGAAGATGAAGTCAATGAGGTAAGTCAGTGACACTTCTTTTTATATTTTTTTTTCTTCTATTATTTCGTTCTTTATTATATATTTCTGATTTAATTTTATTTTTTCTTTTATTTTTATATTAAAAGTTGGTTATTATATCAAAAATTTTTTTATTATTAAATACCTGAAAAAGAAATTAATTATTGCTGCATGCTGGGTTCCTCTGTAACTATTTCTTGTGATAATAAGAAACAAAATCAATACATATATATAATATATTTATAATATATATTATAAGACGAAAGTTGTGGTTTTAATATTTTTAAAACAGAATAACTACATATATACAATTTAGTAATATTAAATTACTAAATTTAAATTAATTAACAACTAAATCCTGATTGTGCTCTCTATGAAAAGGAAGAATAAACGATATACAAATATCTGTTTTCAAATTTCCACATCTGAATTAAAGAGGTCTCAACCAATGATTGAGATGCTCTATAAAAATATCAGTCCAATAGTGGGTTAATTTATGGATTACTTTCTATCAGCATGTCAGGATGATTAAATATCTCCTTTTGTCATGAATAACACTGATTATATATGCTGGAGAGTTACTTCTAGACGTTATTTATCAGTTGAAAGTAAATAACTGGCATCACCATAACATACCCAAATTTTCTTACTTGCAATATAAACATCTATAACTTCTATAATTAAAAGTGTCTTGAAATGCATATTAAAACTTTTTAAAATGTAATACAATTATCTCTCTTTGTACTACTCTATGTTTTCTAAGAGTTAAGAAAAAAATCTGGATTTTACTTTTTCTGTTAATTTTAAAGACACCTTGGCTAATTTGAATCATTAACAACTCTAAGTATTCAATTTCACACTATAAGGTTCATTCAATACCCTTTTAACCCGATTAGGTTATTTTGCCATTTATTATACATTAAACCGCAATATATAATGGGTTATTGTGCTAACCATAGTTATCTTAACCGATCTTTAGAGTTTCAATAAACGGTAGCAAGCGAAATGATTTTGCTTTGTTCTATATATTATATGAGTCAACAAGTATGTTCTGGAATTATTCAGTCTGCTCAGTTTTATGTATATTGTGCTCTAACCGCAATTATTTTAACCGATCCATACTAAATGCTATAGTTCATATGAATTAAATAGACTGTATCTAAGATGAATAAATCTACTCAGCTTTAGGCATTCATAGAGACTTTTTAACATCCATTTTATAGAATGTGTAGAAATTGGTTTCTGAGAGATCGATTTTATGGTATCTCTATCAGCATTGTCCTGTCTAAAACGTTATTACAATTTTAAATATGCATTCGGCTAAGTAAAAGTAATTTATTTGGGATTCACCTTAAATGGGTTGATGAATTTTTAGCCTCTTTTTGTGTTCAATCTTTTTAAGAGTATTTAATTTACATATATTACTATCATTTGGAATAGTCCACTTAAAGGAATATTCCTCTTTATTTAGAGTGTGCTTTAATTATACTCAGTTCAAGGCACTGGAATCATTTAAGTTGAGCGTCCTTGAATAAAATTTAAGATAAAGTTTAGACACTATTTAATGAGACGAAAACCATTTTATGATCTTAAGTAATGTGAAATAAAAAATAATAATGTAAAAATGGTTATTTTTTAAATTAGTTAAAAAGTACTATTCAAAAATTTACGAACAGCAATGCTACGACCAAAACATATACATTAGTGTCCTCCACTACTAGCCCTATTAAATATTCTTTAACCCTCTCCGGAACTCTAAATTGACTGTATTTTGAATTATCAAATTTTTGTCTGGTTTTACCTATATTCCCATGTAGATTTATCTCTGGTGTCTTCTTACTTTCTTAGTATTTGTTTTGTCACCACACACTCTTCATCACAAAATTTGTACGTGAAGTTTGATACCTATGCTATGCTGCACTAGTGTCCTCTACTACTAGCTCTATTAAATATTCTTTAACCCTTTCCGAAACTCTAAATTGACTAAATTTTAAATTATAAAATCTTTGTCTGGTTTTAAGTAAATTCCCATGTAGCTTTATCTCTGGTGTCTTAATGCATCACACTTTCTCAGTATTTGTTTTGTTACCACACACTCTTCATCACAGAATTTGTACGAGAAGTTTGATATAATACCTAAGCTGCACTGGTATCATTTAAGTCTACAGTATTGGGACGTGAGACTGGAATGGGGTAAACTTATAGATTGATATGATCTAACTACTACTATAAAGTATTCATAGAGTTGAGTGTTGAATAATTGTATTAAAATTGATAACTAGAAAACAATTAAGCTGGGGACACGAAATCTGTAAAAGCTTTCAACACAAATACCTACCAATCTATATAATTTTATCTTTATTAATCTGTTACTTCGATATTTTATTTTTTAGGCCTTATTCGAAATAATTACCGTTTATATTGTAAAATATTTAATTATACTTAATTATATTTAATAGGCCATTCGATAAACATATTGCGATCTACAGTAAATTACTTGAAAGTAATGATGTATAAGTTCTTTAAAGTCTCTCTAATGATTCTAAAATTAATTAAGTAAATAGTTTCATCCATTGCTTTAGCAACAGTTGATGCTAGCAACAGTTTTTCTTCCACATTGCAAACGTGTTTCCAATGTGATTGTTTTGGCTTCGAAGCAAAGTTCAATAAACGGCGAACATTACGAACTTGAATTGTGTCAATATTGCAACATTGAAGTCAATGACTTATTCGTCATTCAATAAATTATAAAAGAAATTAATTCTTATCTTAATCGATTTTTAATTTATTTTGTTATTTGGACAATTATAAAGTTTTGATTTTTTTGTTAAATTTTTCTTATTCTTAATTTTAATTACTTTATTTCGCTGATCCAAATCTATGCTTCTATTGAGATTTTTGCCAAATAGCAATGACAATGGCTTAGTAATATGTTATGAGACATATATTTCCGATTACAAAAAACAAGTCTCTGATTTGTTATATGAGAGTATCGTGTTTTGTACAATAAATTTCCAATTATTATTTTTTATATCATATGTACACTTTAAAATATTTACAACAATTTTAATATTAATCTATTTATATATTGATTGACGTTGGAACCGAGCACCTTCCATCAAGTGGCCTCACTGATGTATAGAATTAGACAAAGTAAACCACGAAACGTTGGGCTCTTTTTCGTCCTTCGATTCTCAAATATCGTTATTGAGTTAAAGCCACAATGGCTTCCGTTCGCATTACTGTATCCCTTGTTAATGCAAGCATTCAGTTGGTGATTAATCTAAGTAATGTTTATTATTAAGTAAGGGATCGTCCACTGCGACCTAAAAGATCTATTGTGCCCTATCTATTGTAATGTTTACTTAATTCGAAATTTAATTTCAGTGTATGAGGGTTTATGAGATAGTTTATATGTAGTTTTAGGGTATCATCATTGTTGTCTCTCAGAGATTACATTCGAGTTGCTATTATTAACGAATATATTCCAAGTTTGGTTGCCACCCTCTGAACTTATTAAAATACTCATAAAATTACTAAATAGAAGTTTTAGATCAATCCAATACAACGTTATTCGTCTGAGGTGTTATAATAAGTAATACCTCTTCAAAAGAACAGTTTTGAAACTCAACAATTTAAAATAAAAAATATGTAATTAATTAAATTTTTCTATAGCTGGTTCATAATTTTGTTCTTATACAACACAGTAAATGAATTTGTTAATAAACTTTCAGAGCAAATCAATAAAACTCCAAGTTAGAACTTACAATTTAGGTACAGCTTTGGGTCAGTTAACTAATGAACATTGACACTAAACTTCAAATTGGGCAGGGCACGAGTTCAAGCCTTGGTCTTACAACCTCAAAACACTGTTTACAAATAATCAAATATAAAAAATAATTTCAAGACCAATACTTGAAACGACTGTATTGTCAGCCAAAAATTTAATAAATTAAAAATAATGAAAAAATTTCTTGTTGTTGCAATTTCACTAGTATTCGATAAAAACCTTTCTATTAAAAATAGTAGTTTATATTAAGAATATAGTTTCTTTCGCCAAAATGTACATTAAAATTTAATTTAATATGTTTTTTACTATTGAACAAGTGAATAACTATTGAAAGTGAATAAGTTACCCATATTTGAAAGAAATATAATACGAGACATATATACCATAGGTCAATAAAGGAAAATTGAATATATCGTATCAGATATAACCATCAAATTAATCAAGTAATAGAGAGGAATATATACAGCTCAAAAAATCCATCATGGGCTTAGTGTTCTGTTCAATATGGAACCACTTTTCGTCTGTTCTATCTATGTATATAGTTTTTGGTATGAAAAAACCTGTTATACTGGGTTGTTTCTGAAAATAATTTAGTTTTTCGTTGTTCATAATAATTGTTTTTTTTTCACAGCTAATTTCACACTTAAGCCGCATAATTATTATATTGTTAATATATATATATATATAATAAGTATATTATATAGCTAATATATCGAGACTTTCTTGTTGAAAACTTTGATTTATTCTATGCAATAGTTTTTGATTAACACCCTTTCCAATATGTAAAGTAATGAGCAGCATTTTTAGTATATTTTTCTTTTTTTAATGTCAGTAAATTATAGAACTAGGTTAAATTTAAAGGACAGACTCACTAATTAACAAACTAACTTAACGTAACATCTTAAATACATTGTTTAAATTTCGAAATAGTTTTCTATAGGTCAAAGGATTTTACTTAAAATTAGTTAGTACAAAAATTAAAAACATTTTTCTTTGTGGGTAAGTCTAAGTAAACATTTCTAATTAGTTGCAATGAACCAAAACTTTCTATGCTCTGATAAGAAAACATATAAAGACATTTGTATGAAAATTTGTTATCAAACATATGTGTACACTGTACATTACAAAAATTAAAAAAAATATAAAAAAATATATAAATAAAATTAGCTAAAGCTTATTTAGTTCACTGATATTTTACACTTTGTTGTCA